AGTGTTGCTGTTATGGGACCTAATATCAGGGATTAAGTTCAGGTCTAGGAGAGTCATGCTTAGGGTCCGGTTAGAAGTTATGATAATGGGGCAGGCAACTTCTTGGAATTCAGTGCGTAACCCCCTTTTCTGTGTCCGACCCTACCCGCGTTATGCAAGTGAGAATAATATTTCCGTCAGTCCCTGCTAGATAAATTTGGTTCCTAATTACGTATACTAGGCCGCTTCAAACAAAATATGATTAATAAAGACTACTCCAACCCGTAACCCGTTTGACATCATGTCCTCTATCTACTACTGCAATCAAAATGCACAATGGCTAAGGGATACTCAACAACATCACACACATATTACAGGATCACCGACCGGATTAATAAATGAAAACTCTTGTTTTCTTATTCCAAGTTAGACGAGCAAGTCTTTCTTGTGTTGAGTAGGCTGCTGGTCACTTTCACGGCAGAGCAGAACCTCGAAACAGGTTTCACAACTATTTTTGGTTCGCCTCAGTTATTTATGCTCAGTGCCACGTTTACTGAGACGGTATTGCCTGTCTGAAGCTCTACACTAATGCGTTTATCCTAGCCAAAATACATTTTTTTGCCAAATAAAGCCTGTTCGCACGTCAAACTCAACAGCAGCTCTGCAAAATGCTAAGTTGGACAGTATTCAGGGAGTCCAGACGTGAGATTATTTGGCCGAGTGAATCCTCTAAAGAAAGCCCACCTTTTAGAATTCTTAGGTGCTGGCCACTAACTTCTCTGACCTTAGGAATGTCCCAAAATTTCATACATTTACATAAGTCAGTTTATCGGCACATCCTGCTCCTGATTGGAAGTTAAGCGCACAAGCTATGAAGACCACGTTCCCATGCAGCAGACTGACTAATCGAGAAGCAGCAGCTTGGCCACAACTAAGGCCATGAATAAGGCAGCCTGGGTTGGGGAGTCTGTTAGATAAACAACCATTGGTAGAGTGACAGGATTTTCACCTAACACTCATGTTGTCTACAGTGCAGCATAAGAAATGGCTAGTAAGTTGCTTGGTTTATGACTGCACGCTCACCCGACAATGGGCGTTTCTCGTTGTATTTATTGGACACTCCCCATACCCTATAGCACACTTCTGGTGCGGAAAACATACCACTGAATCCCAAGGACCTGAAAGTACGAGCATGCATACATGCATGCAGGAGTGAACTTGCAGACGCTAGGCGTAATTCGATTTCACCTACCTCACCCTGGAAGACCAACTCTCCGTCCTGAAGCAGTAGCACGGCAGGACACACTTGCAGGTGTTTTTCCGG